GCTTTCAGGCTTAAATCCCCTTTGCTTCCAGCTGCAGGAGCACTCACAGCTCATCCAGTGAGTCCACGAGGTCTAGCAGCGACCTTTGCAGACCACACCATATATGTTCTACTGACACTTACACGAAGCTCACACAACAGCACTCAATCAAATTGTGCATCTTCTCATGTATTCTGTGCATTGTCCTTGTTAAGAGTTAATACGCTGTAAAAAAGCTTGGCTCTGTGCGAAAACTCCACGTGCCTTTTGCTTCAGGCCCTTCTTCCTACAGGATTTGGAATTCTCCGTCTGTTTACAATGGAAGTGTACACATATTCTGTTCCATCCAGACTACTGACTTCAGCGGAACGTTTCCCAAATACCAGTAGTCTCATTAAGAGCTAATTCCGGATCTCCACAGCCTGAATTTCTTTCTAGAGTCAAGGCACACCACAGTATTTGAGATGGGGCTTAAGTCACCTTATCCCCACAAATCACATGATTTGCTCTTCAGCTATATGTCAATCAATTTTTCCTATCACCTAACTTATCCTCAGCTTAAAAGCCCCTTTCCAAGTTTTGTTTTAATTTGGATTACAGTAATCATGTTTTTTGTGATATTTAGAGTCACAACTTCCTCTGGGTAAAATGAAAAACATTAACATTGCAAGGCCACCAGAATTTGTGAATGCCAGAAATAAAACTACCTTCTGGGACGCTTTTCTCACTAATATCCACTGCTAACAGATCCAGGGCAATATGATCCTTACTCTTCTATGTTTCTAAGGAACTTTAGCTCCAATCAAGTTTCTAATATCACGTTTTTCTAAGTTCTTTAACCTCCATATACTCTTGGAATCATATGGAATTCAGAAATCACCCTAGACCCAAGCAGCTTGAAAACAGATCTCCTTTATTTGGAGACCAGCTCCACCTATGCTTTCAAAATAGGATACAAAACCTACTCTTATGCCATATTTGGAGTCCTTTCTCCAAACTTCCCATATCTGAAACTCAAATATTTCCAAACAACTCCCTGTGCCACCACTACATATACTGCTCCAAGCTAGAGATCGGCAACAAGCAATTCCTTCCCTGTACTCTCCAGCTACAGATAAATTACAGAGATGTTAGTTAGGTTTGCAAAAACAACAAGCCACAAACACAAACAACAACAAAATGAAGCCTATGCATACCACTCTTGTTAAAAGTCAACACTACTAGAAGGCTTTTTAAGCATCAGTCTGAAAACCACACTTGTTCTTTATCAAAGCCAGGTTGCCATCTGAAATGCTAAGCAGATCAATCTCAAAGGAGTGAATAGAAACAGTATGAACCTCGAGCTCATGACTCCACCATATCCAAGGACAATTCACTACTTTTACTCCATTTCTGAGCACAATTTATAACTGTCAAATCACATCAGCCCTGACCCACAGAACTATACCCATTCTCTCTGAAATATTATGAGCATGACATATACAGACAACGCACACTTGTATAACCAAGATGCTCCTTAGTATCATTCCAAAGTGCTGTAGTTCTCGGGGAGAACATTTCTCTCCAATGCTGAAAATCACACCAGCAGCCAGCGGATGTCTAGGTGCAATTAAATGTATCAGAGTTTCATGTAACAAAACTAATTAATTGCATCTCCACAGCCTCTACTTCAACAACAAGATGGAAGAACCTCTCTGAGGAATAGAAACCTGCATTCTACTGACTGCTAGTCAAGGATGTGGAGGAAGGGTCCTTCCATTTTAATTGGAAGCAGAAATAATCACTGTATTTCATTCCTCAGCAGGCTGCCACACTTGTGCAGTGACTTACAGGCCACGCTGCCAAGCCCTGCTCTCCCCGGTTCATTGATTGCAAATCAAAAGGCATCAGGGAAGGAAGGTACAATCATGAGACAGCTTACAAGAATTTTCATAGAATCTGATGTAGTATTTCTCTTGAATTTCTCTCTTGGGAGTTTTGTGAGTAATGTCAAATTAAAATATCCATAAAGCATTGCTTCAGAACACAGCTATGACTTATTTTTAATTAAGAAGTTGAGTAACAATTGCTTTGTATTACAAGCTGTTGACACAGACGCAACAAGGATACTTTCTGATTCTCTCTAATGTGCACATTAAATTAGAGATTGAAGAATACAGTTTCACCAAGTTTCCTAAACCTTTTTCTACTGCACGCTGGCCAAGATGCAGACACACTTTTACTCACTTGAAAATGAATACAGCAGCCACTCTAAGCATGCTAAGAATATTATAAAGTTTCCTGCTAAAAGCTCTTTTATTTTGCACATCCTGGAAAGTATTACAAACTTACGGGGCAGTCTTATTGCAAAATTCAAGACAGAAGAAATACCTGTAATTTACCTACTAATTTTTACAACTGGCTGAAGGAATAATATTTACAAGATTAACAGTTTTATGTTTTCCAAACTTGGTCCTACAGACCGCACAAAGATGACCAACACCACACCAGAATGTTGAAACAATACTCCACATCATCCCACAGAAAGGCTCTTTAACCAGAGTTGTGACCCCATCACATAGGCAGAAAGCAGAAAGTCCAAAGCAGTCAGAAAAGAGACATTTTTAACATCTTTAAACATGATGTGGGAAAGGGGAAAGCAGCAAATTAGTTAGCAAAGCCTGCTAGACTGGACAGATTCGAAAACGTGGGGGAAAGGTTTTTGGAAGCTAAAAATACATGTGCAAGAAAGACGGAAAAAGCAACCTTTAGAATATATGCAATCCATCTGGAGAAAAATAATCCAGAACTACAGCAGATGAGAAAGACAGGAGTGCAGTGATGTGGAGCAAGTCTAAAAAGCAAGGGGGGGAAAAATTGTACAAAATTTTCAATGCACCATAACAGCAAAAAAAGGAAAAAACCCAACAGTTTTTGACTGCATAAGTAAAGCCCTGTAGTCCAAAAAAAAGGAGAAAAAAATACCCTCTCTGGGCTTCTGGTAATACTGGACTTATCACATTACGAACATTTAAACATATCCCAGAATCAGGGGAAAAAAAAGGATGGGTATTTTGGAGAGAATTCAGAAGAGGAAAAAAAATGAAAGCTGGAAGATTGAATTACAAGAAAAGATTAAGGGAATACAAAGCATTACTTCACTAAATGGTGACTAAGAGCAAGGCTACAAGCATATGAAGAGTATAACACACCATAGATATTTGAAATGGAGATGAAGAAATATAAATGGAAGATTTAGACAGAAGCTTACTGATTTAGCTGGCTACAAAAAAACACCTCCAAAAGGAAGGGCTAGATAGAAGCCATAGCAACTGGAGTTTAGAGCAGATGTAAAGAATGGATGAGAGGAAAGAATCCTACCATAGCTCTTTATGGGAAGAAACATGATTTTAGCTAATAGGACTTCTCCATCTTAGCTTATTATATGGTAAAAAGACTGTGGGAAGGGATACTCCCGTATCTGGCAGTAAAAGATAGGTATTTAACTAAGATCTTAAAATAACTGAAAAAAGAAACAGTACCAGGGCAAACTAGACTTCTTTTAAAAGGATCTAACAGGATACTGAATCCATGTAACTAGTGATCTTACCGTATCCACACACCTGCTAACCAAATTGTGCTTTTCTCATGAATACTTTTTACTTTCTGCCTCTTACCTTAAGAGGCTCATACCAGAATGGTAGCTCAGAACCAGGGGTGAAAAAGTGCTGACTGGTACACCAAAAAATATCCTCATCATTGATTTTCCCTTGCGTTATAACATGGAGCAGATGATGGCAATAAACAAGAGTTTTGTACCAGCTGATAAAGCAGCTCATGTAATGTCGCAGCTGCGATGACCCTCTCTGAACCATGAGCAGTCTGCAGAGCAACTATAGAGCCTGAAGATGAATCAAGCAATTTTTCCCAGAGACAAGTCTCTCCCCAGTGCTGGGCCCCCAGATGAAAGGCTCAGCACAACCCTTGTACATGGGAAAGCTCTGCCAAAAGTAATAATAATCAGAGGCCTTTTAAAAAAGAAAAAAATTTTAAAAGGAAAGAAAAAAAGAGAGATAGAGGAAAAAAAAGCTGCTCACGGAATGAATACCGCTATGGTTATCCCCCAAAGTGAAAAGGTTTGAACAGCTATTTTTCATCTCCTGCAACAGAAGTCACCTGAATACATGGCCCAAGACTTGAATTCAGCCCAAATTTCAGCTTTAGAAATCTAGTGCTGCCTCCTCAGCTCTCTTTGTGAATTATCAACTGGACATGGCTTTTTCCATCCCACACTATCACTGAATAGCTATTGTGCTCCACTGATGAACAAAGCAAGGCACACATGTTCTCTTAACTCTATTTGCCAGTATCAAAAAGGCTTTCTCACACACTAAATGAGGCAGTGTGGGTCACAGTTCACTTATCTCACAAAGCAGAAGTACACAAAGTTAACTCCATTGCTGAAACAGGCCTACATATATATGTATATAGAGGAAGCTCATTAATAAATAGCCAACAAAAACCTGTTTGGCGAAAGTATGGTAAGTCTCACCTTCTGTGTGCAAGTATGATGTGAAGCTCAGCTCCTACCCTTCCTGAAACAGCTGGTGGCCACTCTCCTAGAGGTTAGCTGCCTTTAGGAATGCTAGGAAATGATCTTGAAACCTCAGCTGAAAAACTCCTTCAGCAATGCCAACTGTAGTACCACAAGCAACATGTATATTAACCTAAGAAGTACAAAAGACCTACTAGGTACTATGAGTGAAATCTAGACTTAGGATACCACACACAACAAGGAATATACTTGTTTGTCATCATATTTGAAACCAGAGTGAAGTTTCACAATTCTGTTTTAACTTATGTTCTCCTGTCATGTTTGCATACGTCTGAAATAAATTCCTTCACATGTTTATCATTCAAGCAGGCCTGGAGCATGCTACCTCTTTGCAATCATAACCCAGCAACCGCCTACTGTGCTAGAGCCAAAATGACACAAAAATCACTGATGAAAACACAAAGAAACAGAACACACATACACTCACCCTCATAGATGTTTCTCCACCATGGGGCTGTTGCAGCCTGAAGACTTGAGCGACCATGTGTTCTGTGGAGGGGTGCAGCAGGATACGGCGGGGGGCGTATCTGCCCATTGGAGACAGGCTCACAGAAATGGCATTAGGGCCTGTAAAGAGAAGAGGAGTTATTTCTCTCACAGGCTGACATCCCTCCCTATGCCTCATCCTCACAGCTTCTTCATTCCCTTCCAACATTCCCATAACGTATGGCACACTAAGCTCATCCTTATGAGGTGTAGAGAAGAATAAGGAGATCCACACAAGAACAAATTTTGCGAGACATTTCCTTGCAGCAAATGTATTCCCACTAAGATAATGAAGTTCTTTAAGAGGTAAAAAACTACCCCTTAGCAGCTCCCCTATATCAGCACCTTACACGTCTAGACCTCTCCCCAGCAGCACTATACTCATGGCTGTTTGAAAGGTCAATAAAATACTTCCTGTTTCTACAATCCCTGATATTCACACTATTGCATTTCTCACTGAAGGCTGAGTTCTGAGGTAACTTCTCACACTCCCACCCACCCTGACTTCTTGCTGCGTGCTTACCAAATCGCTTTGTGTAAAGCATCTCGCCCAAGTTGTGGGGTGCCAGAGAATACACAGCCAGTATTCCCTCATCAGGGAAGCCTCTTTGACTGCTGGGGATGAAGGCTGCCAGCAGCTGCCCATCAGCAGAGATATCACAGCTAGCATCATTGTAAATCTTGCAGTTTTGAACAAGCACGTTCACAGAGGCTACAAAGAAGAAAGAAAGGAACAGTCATTAAAGCACTCAAGTTCAACAGAGAACAAAGCAAGACATAAACCTCATGTTGGAGTCTGGACAACCCATGCAACAGACACTCAAGACATTTAGCTTCCTCCAAAAGTTTATGAAACGCTAATACCCTGTTTAATGTACAATGTGCTCCGAAACGGAGATAAGACACTGCAATAAGCCCAGGGGATGAAATCTACTCACCTCCTGTAGCCTTCAGCCAAGAAATAGTGGCAATCGCACTTTATCAAACCCCTCCTTTGCTGAGTGTAACACCATCCTTTGTAAAGGACAGCACAGTTTAAACAAATCCCGGATCATGACTCTGACAAACTCCAGCAGTGGTAGCACTGTAAACAGTACACCTTAATTCATTTCCCCTTCTCTTGCAGAGCCCATAGTTCCAGCTCCCCTTATCTCCAACAAACAGGAGATGAGAGAAAAATCCCTCCCTCCAGATACAGACATTCATTTCTGACAGCTAATTTTTACACCAATCTTGAATAAAGCAAGTGAGAAAGGGCAGAGACTTCTCCAGCAAGTCCTCGATTTGATTACTCCAGTATTTGAGACACTCATGCAATCAGTGAAGTAACTGTTTAGCAGACAAGTCAGTGAACAGCAACTCAGAAAATTTAAGTTTTACTTTAATCTCTGCTGGTGAGTTGCTGGGTGACCTCGTACAAATCTTTTCCCCTCCATGCCTGGCATACGTAGCCCATAAGCTCTTTGGGCTCCTGAATCTTACTATGCACTTGTGCCATTCCTAGCACAATGAGGTTCCAAGGCCTTTTAGCATCATCATCACCAACAGTTCAATGGCTCAATAAGACAAGGCTGGAGTTATGTTCACTCCCTCAGCCTAACCTAAATGAGCTCCAGTGTTTCAGTACTGCAATTATTCCAGGGGGTTTGGAGCTGAAACTACATACACTATTTTGGGAACGGGGGAATTTCAGATTCTAGTATTTTCAAACTCAAGGCGATAGACATATATAAAAAAAAATAGAAATAGCACCCACATTTGCAATATAGAAGCTCTGCATGCTAGAAGACTGAACACCCCATCTCACATGCTTGAAGCTATAGCATCCCCTGGAGCACTATGTCAACTTCTACAGTCCAGGAATCCTCTTCTAAACCTTCAGACCACACCCATCCTAGAATTGACTTTGATTTGTTCAGCTAAAATTGCAGATGAAGGTGCTTCTTGGGCTAGATTTCTTATTAGTTTAACAAAAGAACAGTGCCAAGAATGCTTTGTGCGTACTTCTGAAATCCTGAACTTCCAAATCAAATTAAGGCTGTAACTCAATGCTTTAACAACTGGCACTGCTGCCAGAAGAAACACTCCCTGCCCTTTGTTTCCAACACTTCTGTGGAAAGAAGGCTACATCAGGGAACTGATATGGCTGAGAAATTACTGACTGTTGCCTAGGGTCACTTTTTAGCCAGAACAGTTTTTTCAACCTGGTACACTACACAGCCACACAGACACTTGCAGCAGCAGAAAAAGTCATCACAGGGAAGCAGACAGGACTGCTCCTTCTTCCGGCACTGCTGATTTAAAGCACTCACCGAACCTCATCTTCAGTTCTTCTGAGCTCAAAGACATTTTTCCTGGAACTGCTTTCCTACATGGCTGAGTATCAACTTCAACTGTTCCATTTAAGGAATTCCAATGAAAAAGACGACGAGGATAAAAAGTGGACTATATAATTACATTCTGTACCAAACCACCTACACCTGTACTCTGAATTTATTCCACCATTTTTTTTCAGTTTCAAAGCTGCTAAAAACAGTAATTTTCAACCTAGTATAAACAGAAAGGTGCTGAATAGAAAAAAGGTAAATAATGATAGTCACTGTCAGTGCTGTAATAACAGAATTTAAAATACACATGGCCCTTCCAAGAACAGACAGTCCAAAAGATGACAACATTCCCGAGTGCTTAGTGTGAGGCTAGTTGAACAGAATAAAGATTAAAGACTATACTACCTAATTTAAAAAAAAAGGTATAATTAAAATTTGCTTTTTTTTTTTTTTAATGTAGGCTTCACTCAAATACTCATTATGTTGTCACAAGAGAAGATGGGCATCAACACAAGAAGTGCAGCATATGCTGTGAGCTAGCTAAAGGAGACATGACAACAGGCTGCACTACTGTAATCCCCATCAACCTGGGAGAATTCCTGCACAGTTCTTCCGTGACTCATTTCAAAACCAGTCCTGTTTATTAGCTTTATCAATGATCTAGGCACACAGTGGAGCTGGTTGATGAATTCTGTTGAGAAAGTTGGGTAATTTCATTAACAGAGCATGATCAGACCACACAGTGAACTGAAATACACAGAGACATAACAGAAGAGAAATGAAAGAATTCTAGAGCCTGTTAATATTTACAAATTTCTGCTTTACCTAGGAGCTTCTCAGTTGGAAACAAGAGGGAATCAACTTTAGTGATTAGTAAAGATAGCAAAGACTGAGCCATCCACCTGGCACAACAGTGGAAGAGATGGCAATTGCAAACTGCACTAGGGAGCACACTTACAACAGAATTATCAGTGCTAACATACAACCTTGTCCAGAGACCACCTGTAGGATACTGGGCACAGTTCTGGTCAGCCATGTTCAAGAAAGATTAAACCTTAAACGGTAACAAGTCCATCAAAGAGCTAGGAAGATGACTGGGGAAAACGAAATATGTATTTTATGTTAAAAAAAAAAAAAACCACCAAGATTGCAAGGGAATGGGATTATATTTACAAAAAATAGCAGAAAGCAAGTGCCAGAAAAACATCAGTTCCCTTAAAAAATAATGTTGACAGGTGAGTATGTGGGTAAAAGCAGCCATTAAGTTTGGAAATTAGAAAATTCCTACCAGAATAGCAAGATGCTACAATAGTCTCTCAACAGAAGTGAAAGGGGCAAAGAATTTAACCAATTTTAAGACAGAATAAGAGCAACTAGAGGATGTGCCTGCCTAAGACGGCAGAGAGCTATACTCAGTAGCGAAGGGGGTCCTTTCTCACCAATTCTTTTGTAGCTGTAATCTAATCAGCAGTGATCAAAAAAAAAAGGAGGGGGGAATGGGAATTTATTGCACAGGTGAATACTGGGACTCTCCCAGCCAAACCTGAGTTAACTACTTAAAAGAGAGGCAAGCAATAAGGCCAGCAACAGAGCAAAACTACACTTTACACAGGGAGAGCATTTCCCAGAGATACAAGCATGAAACATGCCTCCACTACCTCCACAAAAAACTTTGATTACTAGAAGAGAAAAAAATATAGTCCGCAGTTCCTTTCCCTGGGGTCTAAGAACTGTTCTCTCTCGTTCCTGTTCTGCTAGACATCTCAATTTTTGTCCTGCATCTCCAGCTCAGGATGCAGTTCCCATGAGGCAGCCACGGTTTCTCCACAATGTTAACTACCATCATTTGATGCTCAATATTAGAAGTAGCGAGATTGTATATTTGCTTCCTCAGACCAAAGGTATGGGTATAATTTAGCCCAGGGTCCCTACTGTACTGATGAACTCCTGGTGCTTTTCAAAGAGGTGACAGCAGTTTCAGAGGTGAAACAGACAGTGATTTCTGTGGGCACAGGCAATGTTTCTTCCTTGTTCCCACAGCTACTGAAAATCATAATCTATAGAATCCATGTCTCTCTTCAGCTTTTAAAGTTTGGGATTTTCTTTAATCTAATGCAACCTTGGATATTCACAAGAAAAGAATCCCACATCTTTATTTTTGTAAGGTAAGAAAGACGTGTATTTCTTCTGTACCACTTACACATTCAGGGACATTGCCACGTCTTGTACCTATCCTTGCAGTTCCATGGCTATTTTTTTTTCCTTTCCAGGTCTCTAATCCTGTTCTTCAGGATTTTATTATTTACTATATGCCTTTTAAAACAATGTTGTGTTTGGATCACCAGTCACCAAGAGTCTGTTTATCATTCAGCACATGCTCACTCATTTTCTGTTTTCACAGTTTCCCCCCCCCTCCCCTTTTTTTACCACTCTTGACCCTCTTTCAGCACAGCACAGAGGTTTCTGGTGAACAGTCCATAATGACAGCCAACATGACTGCGTGTCTTGTTGCTTTTAAAGTTTGTTGCATATGGTGAATGCCTCTTAGCAAAACAGATAGTGAGCTCCCCTGCCAGAAGTGAACTATCTTTCTCCCTTGATGCATGCCTGGAACATAAAACACCACAGATAGAAGTTGTGCTGAATGAAAAAGAGCGTCCTTTATTTCAGTCTTTCAAGATCTGATTCATGCTGGCATTATGGTTTTTTGCTCTTCCCTCATCTACAAAGGATGAGGGACTCAGGTAGCACTTACACCTAGAACCAATAGAGCTTAGTATGCCAGCCCAAAATGTCCAAATGCGAGAGGTGGAGATCTCAGCAAGGTTTCATTTTACGGAACAACATCTAAGAGATTTCCAAGACACAGGGAGGATGAAGATACCCATGCATTTGACAAAGCCACAGGCTATCTGATTTCTTTGGAGCCTGAGGCCTGATCTATGAAAATGAAGTCAATACAGAAGATTTTAGGAAAAAAACCCTGCTATTTTTGGAAAACCATTTACAACAAGGCTGCCTTTTCATCTCTTGTTTTCTTTCATTGTTAATGCAGCCACCGAGCTGACAGAACAGATCAAAAGAAACATCAGAGAACAAATTAATCAAGCTGTTGTGCCAACTTGGAGTGCTCACACCTACAGCATAATTACGCTTGAAGCTGGGGAAGGCCTGGAGTGCTGACAGCAACAGCACTGTTTGCCAAAGGAAGATATGCTAGGTGCACCATCCACTCCTAGCTACCCTTAAGGATGACACTTTCCTAACAGCTGCTCCTATTTATAAGTTGTTTAACATGCTTTTTTTCCCCCTTTTAAGTTCTTCTGCATCCCACTGTGGATCAGTAAGTATTGATCAAATCACCTTCCTCAAGTCCCAGCCAGTGTTAGTTCAGCCACAATGGTTAGAAAATGAAATAATGAGCAGCGAGTAGCATGAGAGAAACTATATTCAAAGGACATAAACAAGAGGCAAAACCTTCAAATATTTTATCTGTAGAAAGGCTCTGTTCTACACTGTTCACCAAGTCAATACTTACCTGCTAGATGTGAGAAATTTTAAGGATCTGCAACACTTATACAATAATGTCAAATAAATGCCAGAGATAGCATTGCCTCTGCTGCCAAATAAATTTCCCACCTCAACACTGATAGGACTGACAATTAGTTTAAGACCAGGTCATGTTCATTTCAGAGTTATTAAAAGCAAAACTGGGAAAAGGAGAGAAGAAATCTGAAGCCATCTTTTTCCATTTTGCAATTAATAGAGAAAGACAGGGCAGAGAATAAAATTCCTCAAATCCCTGCAAAGCCATTTCCCCAAGATTGCTCAAGTCCTCTTAATGAGTGTTAGTGAGGGAGCTGCCGCAGAGCTGCATCCGGAGCCCAGGGCTCCGAGATCACAAGACTGCACTAATCACACTGCCATCACTTGCTCAGATGCGTCCGCTTCAGTGGAAAACATCCTACTTCCAAAATACCTTTTCTTTGTTTAATGGTAACAGGAAGAAGACCTGCTCGGAGATGGATGTTGGCCACAGAGTCATTTCTCTGATGAAGAGTGGAGCTGGCAGGCAGTCCCAAACTTCAGCTGCATCATTTCATCTGCCTGAAGTCCCAAACCACTTGTGGCTCAAGTCAGTCCCAGGAAGTGCAATGGCCCCCTCCGTGTAAGTGGACTCATGTGACCACTTCTGATTTATGGGAAATGATGGTGGAAAAAAAGGAGCCATTGAGTCACACACTTTACTGGGAAAATAGTTTATTTCCAAGATCACAAAGAGTCACAAAAAAACTCCTCCAACCCACCACTCCACTGCTACACATTTAGCTTTACAATATCTCTACAAATTTGTGCAACATGGCAAATGTGCAGCTTGTCTTTGTTCTGTGCCTAGGCAAGCTTGGCAAATACCTGTTTTAGGATGAGCACAACTGATACATCTTCATACTTCCCCACTAGACCCTGGCAGAAGGATATGGCTAACAATCTAGAAATGCCAGAGTTGGGCTCAGCATGTTAAAAGGAAGCAGCAGCATAAAAGTGAACATTTCCAAATGGTAATAAATCAAAGATGGAGAAGCCAAGTACTATGAAGCACAACGTGGGAAGTCAGAAGGGCTGGGGATGGGTTATAGCAGGAACCTTGCCTGCAAGAAGGGCACAACAACAGCAGAAACTGTAGCCCAATTTCCAGCTAATTGGAAGCTCTTTCAGAATGGAAGTGTCCTGCCAAGGGAGAGGGAGAAGACTGAAATATTGATGTCTTGAGGAGCAGATGTTTGTTATTTTCTATGGGATTCCATGAATTATAAACAAACATCTTATGCCTTCTTTTTTAAAAATATCAGCAGCCTCCTCCTCAGCAGCCAGATGAGGCCAAAAAAATTTAACAAAAAGCTATTAGCAGCTGTAGCACTCTTCAAATACTTTACAAGCTTCCAGAGAAATCCCAAAGAATTTAAGTCAGCAGCAAGATGCTTCCCTCTCTGACATCATCTCTATTCTGTTCCAGTGTCTGTCTGGACCACAGAAAGTATTGCCACCACGTGACAAAACTTTGCCTTGAGCACTGATCCTCAGCCTACAACTTTACAGTAGTACTACAAAGTTTGGCACTTAACAAGATACATCAAAGCACTGGCACACGAGTTCACCACAGTATTCTACTTCGGAAGGGACAGAATGGTTCTTAAGGACAAAATATAAAGCATCTTCTTCCCCCTTTTACAATGTCAAGGGCTACTGTCTAGAAGCAGGGCTTTTATTTCCCACCAGGCTATAAACATCACACCACAACATTCTATACACTGTGGAGGAAGGAGATGAGAAAGAAACACCAGATACTGTGTTGTTCCTACAGATGAAGTAAGCAAGGTTTTTGTAATGGGATGGGCTACTGGTGGCTTTCCCCTAGCTCCTCCAATTTCCCAGGGACTGGGAGGTAAATGGCCCCATAGAGGTTGCCCAGAGAATCTGTGGATGGCCCATCACTGGAAGTATTCAACGTCAGATTAGACAGAGCTCTGAGCAACCTGATCTATTGAAAGACGTGCCTGCCCACAGCAGGGGGGGGTGGACTAGATGATCATTAAAGCTCCCTTCCAGCCTAAACCATTCTGTGATTTCAATTCCCCACATCTCTGCTGCTATCGTGTATATACATGTGCTCCTTTTGTGAGTTCTTTAAGCAACAGGACAGCAGCCCACAGAAACCTCTATTGTCAGACACGTAATTTCTAGAATTGCAGAACACACAAGGCTGGGACTGGGAGAAACTTTTTCTTAATTCATTTCAATGGTTACCTGTGAAAGCAGAAGTCTTTCTGAAAACAGTTCTCCCTAAAAAAGTCAGTCCCTTAAAAAAGAATCCAATCTGTTTTTGCTGAGAAGTCAAGCAATGAATTTCACATATGCACAGAGATGTCCTAAGCTAAAAATCACTGTACAAAGAAACATTCATGAATATCTACCTCCTATCTTCATTCCCGGCTGCCACAAACATTTCTGCAGCTGTGCAGCAAGCTATATCAGGATACCATTCTGGGTTAAAAATAGCCTTTCTAGTCAAGTTAGTTCTAGCCTTGAAAAAGTCATTCCTTGATCAGCTGACCACAAGCATCAAATATGCTTGTGCCTGCATAAGGATCTCTTTTCCAGTACAAGAGCTAGCTTATGCCAAAGAAAATTTGTAAAGCTACGGTCTAATTTTCACAAAGGGAAGGAGAAAATAAATAAATTAATAAAATCAGCAATATTGCTCATATTCTTGACCCAGAAGCAACTTTCACCTGCGATATGGGATGAATCACTGCTTTCGCAAATGGCTAAAAGCTAGAATTACTCTCCCCGGCTTGTAACACTGTGTTGCAACACTTGCAACAGACCAGGCCCCTGATCTCCAAAATGTATTGCAGCACTTTAACCCACACTGATGTCAATAACATGGAGAATTCAGACCCAATTCATTAGCAGGTTCTAATGTAAGGGTATAAAGACAATATCCCTCTAGAAACTTGCTGGTAAAAGAATGAGGAGATTGGATACTGAATTCCTTTAAGAGGATTGTATATTCTCATGAGAACGCTCACAAAAATGCCCCATTTATGCATGGATTTGTTGATAGCAAGAACACACAAACTAGACAGAGCAGGAACAGCCCTTCATGCTTTCAGTCAACATTTTCAAAAGGCTGAGCGTTTTACAGTTCCCAACACAAGACAATCAAGTAACCCAAGGCCAGCAGCATACAGCTCCCTTTGGAAGATCCTAGAGCTCATGAGACTTAAAAGAAAATATTGGTGTCCGTTCTGGCTTACCATTGCTGATTTCAGGCAGATCAAATTTAGTGAAGTCCCACCACTGGAGCCTGTAGGTGGTGTTGGCAATGTTGCTGGCCACAGCTGACTGTCCATCCCCAATCACAGCACCTGCAGAAAAGGGGGAAATAATTAGCAATTTAACCTCCAGAAGACTATTCAGAAAAGAGCTGCAGAGACAAAACCATAGAAAACCTTTCAAAATCCAAGACACAAAACTCTAGAAACCTTATTTACAGAAATAAACACCTCCTAAATAAGCCACAGAGCACAGGAAATTAACAGGAAAGCACCTCCCTGCAACGCATTTCTGAAAGAAAAGAAAGTTGATGAGAGATAAGATGAGCAGAGACTCACAAGGCAGAAATCCTAATCAACTAATCTGGTGCAAATGCATTCTACTAGTGAAGCTGTATTTTCAAAGACTCAAAATTTTCTAGCAGAGCTATGAAGGCAGACCAGAACACACACGAAGAAAAAGCGCTGCCCTGGCAAACCACACACATTTGTGGACATAATCCCTGCTACTACTGTAAACTCCACCCAGAAGATACAGGTTGCCTACAATATTTGCCACACAGTAAGGATCATAACAAAGTGTTAGCAAGGATGACCCATGAATTGGCCTTTTGCTGCTCTGGGCGGCCCAACCTACAGCAGGCAGGGGCTGCCCTGACTCCAGGCAAATGATACGACCTTTGCTAACCACCCAAGGATTTGGGCAACAGCCCACAGCAGGAAGCTAAGCAGAATACTTCAAAAACTAGCACAGAGAACATAATTTTCCAGGCAAAAAGGAACTGCCAGTGGTAACTCAAGTAGGCATCCATTTAAGAAAGCTCGGAGGCATTAAATGTAATCCCTAGGGAGACAAGCGGAGAGAAGAAACAGTTCTCCCATAACAGTACCAGAGTCAAAAATCTCATACTATTTGCGGTCTCTAAGGCCTTTATATACATGCAGGCCTTGTACTACACATAGGTGCTGGCCCCCAGAGAAACTCAAGGTAATAGAAATTGATAAGGAAAAGCAAACCAAGATCATCCCCAAGCACAAATGAGGAAAAGCACAGCATCCGGAATCTATTCAGTCTGGATTTCTGCATCTCCACACTGTCTCCAGTGGGAAGCACATGGAAAAATGAGCAGCTTCGCTCTCCCAGCAGGGCTGGCTCAGGGCTCTGGTGGCACAGCAGCAATAGTAGAAGAGACATAACTTTGACAACTCTGCATCCAGTACACAGCAGGCCAGCTGCCCGCACAGAGAGCTAAACACTTGCTAACTGCTAGTAAATGAAGTGGTGTGGAGGAAGATGAGGAAGAGCAGGGTGTCTGGGTTTTCACTTTTCTTATAAAATCCCAGCAGAACACTCAGGCTTGTGGAAGAAAACAAACTAGCCTGAAAACAAACAAACAAACAAACAAACACACACACTCTCTCTCTCTCTCTCTAACATGGTTTATGTTTTCTCTGCAAAGTAAGGAACAAGGCAGGCAGGGGAAACTGAGGAAGTAAATTCTAGACCAATGCTGATAAATAGAGACACCGAGAAGGCTGCTACTAGTCCTCTTTTAATTGATAAGCTGTCTCAAGTCCTGATTTTTGGTTCTGGAGAAAGCTCAGAAATATGCCAAGAGCAAGACTTCTGAGCAGACAGCTATACACTGTGTACTCAGCTGTGCCAAGCCTCCAGCAATCGACAAAGCTCTGCTGCACATCTGCTCAGTCTCTGTATCTGCCTCTGTCAGACACGCACACATCACTTGGAGAGCAGAATTAAGAACATTTCCTCTGCTCTTACGTACGCCCAGGGCCTTGTTCTCCATATCCCCCAAAACAAAGGCCTCCTCTGAACAAAAGATATGCACTGGAGAAAGCAGATTCAGCGCATTAACGCAATTACATTTTGCAACCAGAAGTGGAAGAAGGACAATTACATTTTATGTTGCTTCATCTTTAAAAGTCTCCTCGCTACAAGCCTGGGTTTGGTATACAAGGGCAGCTCTTCTGCTGCCTTCCCTCCAGTCACCAGGTGGAGAACAGAAAACTCCTTTCTCTACAAATTTCATGCAGTGGGACTTGCTGCAGGGAAACAGTAACTAACATCACCAACTAGGTAGCAACTGCCTTATAGGACTGAGCCAGACAAGGAAAACTACTCAGGACCATAATTCCAGAATATTAATCTTTAATATTACAGATGAACATTACAAAGTCATCACCTGTTTTGCAGTGAGAACCACCTCTGTGGGCATATCAAATAATATACAAACTGGAGAATAACATACCCTAGGAGAGCAATTGTGCGCTTCCGCTGCATCACAAACGCCCAGCAACATCCCTAACTGCTCCACAAACGGCGAGTTCAGCTGGCCGTTCAACTGTTCAACCTTTTTTTTTTTTTTGTTCAACTGTTGTACCTACTGCTACAAGTACCATAAAAAAGCTGTTGGCAAATGGTTTTGAATTTTTTTCTGTAAAGATTCTGGCCTTCTCATCCCTTTCTCCACAACCTTCAAGTCAGTTATGGTGTTCATTTAAAGCTCGCATGCCCTACACTTCCAAAGGCAGTCATATCCTACACAGAAAAGCTAACAATGGAAAAAAAGCAGCACCTCCCCATCCACAGGACAGCCCTGCACAAATTTCAGAGTCAGCAAAAGCTATCAGCTAACACTAGTGTTTCAGGTAACAGATACTTTCATCAAAAAGATTAGGACACAGGGAACAAGGTTCATAGAGTGAAAGATGCATGTTCAGAAGGATTTGGTCCGTTTCTCAAAGGCTCCAAACCAGTGTGCCTAACACTAATGGCAAATCCATGATCTACATGTTTTTATTAAGTAAAGTCTAATTTTTATTAAGTATACTTTTTATTAAGTATACTAATTATGTAATTGAAAAGTGTAATTATTAAAGTATATCTAGCTACATATAGCAAAGTGGAATAACATTTGTATCACAAGTCCTGCCAGAAGCCTCCCACATGCATGCGTAAAGTAAAGATGATTAAAAGCATAAAAACATTTCAGACATTCAGTTTAGGGAGGAAAATGCCCCCAGTATACAACTATGCTATCCTAACTTTTGCTGTTCACTTTTTCCATTGGTTGATTGGGAAGATTTGAGATCACGGGTGGAAAACTTCAGAAAGTTCACCATGCAGCATGAAAACTCCTTCTCAGCTGGTTTTGTCCAGCCAGGGTTTCAGCCTGGGTGAGAGAAGAAGCTGCTGTTGCCTCTTAAGTCCTAGTCTAACCTGGAGGCAAACAACACACTTCTGCTTCTTAAATGTGGGCAGCAGCAGATCAGCTCTTACAACTGGCCGTTCTCTACCAAGCACTTGACAGTCTGTCCCGATTCCTGGGTCTTCCACTGTTTGATGGGATCACCAGTGACTGCCATGGGTACCCGAGGGTCTCGGGCTTGTCATCCCCACAAACACAATGACCTTTTACTGCAGAGATGATGTAGATTTCAAAATGCTGAAATCCAAAGCAAAAAGCCAATTGAAATGCAGTGAATGTAGGTTTGATTGGCAGCTTTCCTGCGTCTGTCTATCACTGCGTAATAAACACTGGGTGATAGCAGAAATGAAGATAAATGCTTTCAGCAGCACCCCCCTCCGCCCTGATCTCCATCCACCCCCACTCAGCACATGACAAGAGAGTTTAAAGAGGGGGGGGGAAGTCTTAACAAAGACTTTAAAAAAAAATATAAATCATCAAATCTTTTCTTACAGGCCACCTACACGTGGCAAGACATTTACCCGTCAGTTTTAATCCCCCCAGAGGGTCCAACTCATCTTGGCATGTGGAGAAATGAACCTTTGCCAGTCAGCTATTGCTCATTTATGAATCAAGCCATGCAAGCCAACATCTGAATCTAGACTGAAAGGGAAAAAAGCGGTGCAAAACCACTTTCCATGGCACTCCAGCACTCCTTCACTGAGGAGCAGGATACTTGCAGACTACTACTATCAGACTCTCAGAGGAAGAGTTAATGCTCTAGAGCTACACAGGCTTTGGGGTATGAGTTTCAAGAACATGGAACATCTCCATATTATGGGAATTTCTTTCCCGTGTATTTAACAGAAACCAGAGCTCAATTTTTTTTCTAGATTAGATCCTTTACTCAAGTTTTTAGTGTCTGGCAGGTCCCCTCATAGCAAGAGAAAAATTTATTAAGATGCTTACAGATAAGCTTGAGGAAGCTGGAGAAGTCCCCAAGCTAATTTGTGACTCAATTTGAGACAGCGATTAGGCCCTGGTACCAAACTCCCCCTAGATTAGTACTTGCATCTTTAACCATGAGTACCTTTGAAAACTAATTACCTCTTTATGAGCCTATTCGTAACTGTATCTAATGATAGTGAGGTTATCCTACACTTGCAGGAAGGATCTATCACATCTGACGAGTTTTATATTTACTAGTTCTAGATTTACTATAATCTGGGCTCCAGGAGGCCCAAAACACAGGACAAATCTTTTTGACAAACCAAGGTTAAAGGTCTTTGCTGCAAGAATGCACCAGATCTTCTCAACCAGTTTTGAAGCAATTTGAATTCAGCTGAAATGTGATTACTGATCTCTGAAGCCTAGTGGAGATGTAACAGGTTCTTGCACATTTTTGACCCTAAAGTATTTTATGGGGCAGCCTGGTTTTGGGGATCACAGTAAATACACTAAATCTTGAATATGAATTTGACGAGTCCCAGCAAATCTCTGTTCCAGGCTACCATGAAGACACTGCCTCTGAAGTGGCCGAGCTAACTATCTAAAACTGGGCTAATGCTGTAGAAACAGTATGCGTAGCAACCTGGTATTTTCAAGGATTTATTTTGCTTGTTTTTCAATGTACCAGCAAGCTGTAAATAGGAAGTGTGCAAAACAATTTTCATGAATGGATGCACAAAATGTTACTAGGAGTAGTTTGTCATATGCTAAGCACTGAAGGGATCTTAGATGCTAACTGAGAAAGCCTCAGAGAGGTCTATGCTCTCTTGAAGGCCGAACCCTTCTAAAGGCTATTATTTTTCCTTCACCCAAGATGTATGAAATAACATGAAAGGCAACTTCCCATTCATGTTCATTCCTATTGCAAAATTTCCC